CTTCGTGCTGTGGCAAAGTGCAGGGTAGTTTTAGATTTCCATCCGATTGACCAAGTTTGTCGCAAGAGTCTTGAGATCGATCACACAGCCCAGTACAACAAAACCTAGACAAGGCTTTATGTTCGACTCTGGAAAGAAATTTTCTCTAACTCGCAGTTTACAGGAGTCACTTGTAACAATCCACTTACCAGTGCCAAGAGGAAGTACTGCTGATGCAGGTAACTTACACTTCAACTCTTGAACAACATCATCCAAACACGACAACACCCAGCCAACTGTCCCATCACCACCACAGATCAAGACACGAAAATCAGGAATAGATCTGAAAGCGTAAAATCTAAAACAAACACAATAATCAATTCTAGACCACGGGACAAAGATGAGAGAAGAAAACAAGGCTCGTAGCATTGGGTATAAAATAGCTCTAACTGATCAAGATGCAACTTAAACGACAAAATTAGATTTGTATCACAGTGACTTAATTTTTGTTATGTAAATACACAAATCAGTTTTCGAACTGCTACGTACTTAGTAATGAATAAACTTCAACTTCAATTGCAAAAAAACAGTTTTCTAGATACGAAGGGCAGGAGTTAAACATACCCTAATAATGGGCCCCCTTCTGTGACGCTGTACACTTGATGAGGGTTGAGCAATCTCTGGAAAGCTGCGGACATGTCGGCCCCCTGACCACCTCCATGTCTGGAGTTAACCAGCACTAGAAGGGGTTGGCGTCCAGGGGGGAACAGCCCAGGCTACAAGAAGGAAGAAACAAAAACGACAGGATAAGCATAACTCCTTTTTTGATTCAGGTCAATCCTTTTTTTTTTTAGCTTCTTTTTTTTTTTGAGTACTTCCAGAAATACTCTAGAGAAAAACCTTTGCTCTTGAATTTGCAGCTACTTACATGAATAGTGGGTAGGACTCTCACAAACAGCTCTTTGATGTCCATAGTGGAATTTTTTAATTCATTTACAGCATCGGCTGCTGTGTCAGCGGCAGGAAAAAACACAAACACCATACCTGGAAAGAGTTACAATGTCAACATTGGGTGACGTATTAACGGTAAAAAACTACAAAAACAAAATAAAATATTTAACTTCCTCAGTCATTTTTGTCATATGACCAGTTTCGCGAGCGAGTGTTTTATGCCATTCCTGTTTTCTGAAATGGCTGAGCAAAAGTAAACGATTTATTCATGGAAATTTTAAATAATTCGTTTGCCTTTCTCATAAATAGTTCGTCACTAAAACTAGCTCGATGTCAATCAAGCAACCCAGTAAGCTTTACAATCTCACCATTTCTCTTTATTTCGATGGAAAATTCGTAGACTAGTTCGGACATAAATTGATGGCCATGTTATTATTCCAGGAGTCTTTTCCGGAGTCTAACCGACCACCGTGAACTATGGTTCATCTGCGAAAATTTTCATAGTCAACAGTTTCGGTAATGTTTGTCAGCCATAAAAAACGTACTTGATTAAGCGCGAAAAGTTTGCTTCAGGAAATTGGTTTAATGAGGAAGTACTGCTGATGCAGGTAACTTACACTTCAACTCTTGAACAACATCATCCAAACACGACAACACCCAGCCAACTGTCCCATCGCCCCCACAGATCAAGACACGAAAATCAGGAATAGATCTGAAAGCGTAAAATCTGAAACAAACACAATAATCAATTCTAGACCACGGGACAAAGATGAGAGAAGAAAACACGGCTCGTAGCATTGGGTATAAAAAAGCTCTAACCAATCAAGATGCATCCTAAACGACAAAATTCGATTTTGATCACTTAATTTTTGTTATGTAAATACACAAATCATTTTTGGAACCTCTACGTACTTAGTAAAGAATAAACTTCAACTTCAATTGCAAAATACAGTTTTCTAGATACGAAGGATAGGAGTTTAACATACCCTAATAAGGGCCTCTTTCTGTGAGGCTGTACACTTGATGAGGGTTGAGCAGTCTCTGGAAAGCTGCTGACATGTCGGCCCCTTGACCACCTCCACTTCTAGAGTTAACCAGTACTACAAGGGGTTGGCTTCCAGGGGGGAACAGCCCAGGCTACAAGAAGGAAGAAACAAAAACGACAGGATAAGCATAACTCCTTTTGTGATTCAGGTCAATCTTTTTTTTTTTAGCTTTTTTTTAAGTACTTCCAGAATACTCTAGAGAAAACCTTTGCTCTTGAATTTGCAGTTACTTACATGAATAGTCGGTAGGACTCTTACAAACAGCTCTTTGTTGTCCATAGTGGAGTTTTTAAATTTATTTACAGCATCTGCTGCTGTATCAGCGGCAGGAAATGACCCTAACACCATACATGGAAAGAGTTACAATGTCAGCATTGGGTGACGTAATTGACGGTAAAAAACTACAAAAACAAAAGGAAAAAATAAACTTCCTCAGTCATTTTTGTCATATGACCAGCTTCGCGAGCGAGTGTTTTTATGACATTCCTGATTTCTGATTGACAAAAGCGGCGGTTCTACTCTCGCAGGATTGTCTATCGAATTCCACAAAGTAAAACTCAATGAGTTATCTTTGAGTTATCAAAGATAAGTCATTGATATCTATCAATTGCATTATCTTCCATCCACGGCGTAAACAGATTGATCTCTCCAAAGTTAACATCTATATAAATAACACTCCTGCAACCCGGGTGGAGAAATGTCATTGTATAATTAAATGCAGCCGGTTTACATGTCACGTAATTCTTAGGCAGTCTCGTATGTCACCAGGGAGCAGTAATGGAATTTCAAAGTAAGCATTGCAGTCTGTCAAAACGAAGAAAAGCATGTAAAGCATTAAATATGCAAAAAACAAAAAGGACATAGCACTCGGTCCAAATGCTTTATCAAACAGAGCTAATCCCGCTTTCTTATGAATTAACAATAGGACAAAATCTTCAACGAGATCAAAGCCAATCAGAACACAGGATTCGCCTTATCTTGCCCACCGGCACTGCCAGCGATATTTCGTAAATAAACCCCTTCGGGCAGCTGGTATGTCGGCTGATAAAGTCCTTGGCTGAGAGATTGTCCAAAAAATGAGTATTTGGCCGAGAAGCGAAGCCTTGAGGGCAAATATGAAATTTTGAGGACAATCTCTCAGCCAAGGACATTATCAGCCGACATACCAGCAAGCCAGAACAGGGTTTATTTATTTTATAACCCTCCCATTAATTTCCACATCGCAATTAAACTGCGCGTAAACAAACAAAAAAAGCCAGTGGTGATCTGATGGCGAATGCGCGTGATTGACGCGAGCAAGCAAAAAAAAANTGGTACGATCTTCAGATAAAAGCAATATTTGTTATATATCATTAGAAATCACTTTGCACTTATCAAAGAAAGTTATAATTAAAGACAGAATAGCTGGAAGCACGAAATTATATAAAGAGCAAAATTATGGCTATGTAATCCGGCAGAACTTTCCTGGTTCAGTACATTCTAAAAAGAATTCAATCTGGTAAAAATCAAAATCCAGATGGCCATAAATTTGAGAATAGCCACCATGATTGTAACTTTAGAGGAAGTCAATTGGAATGTGAAAAGACAGAGAAGTGCCTCATTCAGATGATTAAAACAAACAAACAGACAAAAAAAAGAGATAGGAGAATTTTGGGAGAGTCCAAAACAAAGAAAGGGGTCAACTTTCGTGAGTGAGGAGGGGAAGGCGATTTCCTGAGGAACGTTCACTCAGTTGAGGAAATATAAAGGTAATATTGTAGTCCGCGAGGAAAATGTCACTTACATTGAGAACGTAGAAGAAGAAGTATCAAAGTCCTCCCAATTGATAGCCTTTACAAAGTTCAAGGGCTTATTATTAATTTGAAACAAAAGCTGAAAATTGCATGCATTCCAAAGTCCAACTGATTAATACAAAAATCTTACTTTTCTACTATCCATCAAGGATTTCCATGGACAGTCATTATGTTCCATTCTTCGTTCATGGACTGATAATTCAATAAGAATAGAAGTGGTGTGAACTGGCACGTTAATTATCAAAAGTCTTAAATTTGAAATTGAATGCACTGCATGGAGTTCTATGAAGAATTTGCGAGTAATTTTCTACAAACGCTTTCATGTATTTTTACTCGCGCGTAATTTGCGTGTGAATTGCGTGCGTGTAATGCTGCTATTCTTTCGGTCGATATTGTGTGCAGTATTGAGTTAATAACTAAAGCAAATGTCCTTTATCACATTACGACCTCAATTATGAAAAATGAGTTTAAAAAATCTACATAAAATGGGATATGTTACCTCCTTGAGATAGGTGTACTTCAGTCAGGGAAAAGTCATTTTCATTGGCACCCTGTGCATAAGAATTAATTTCATAGTTAACAAAAAAACCAGAGGAATTCCATTCAAACTTCACTCAATTAGTATTTAATTTATTTTAAGTTGCATTAAAAAGCAGTCCTGTGTGATTGTCAGCACCATGGGAAAGTTGTACAAAACAGTATGGAGAGTATGCAATTACTGATGTCAGGGTGTAAAAGGGTTAAGAGTATGGCCTGATTCAAATGGATCCTTTTAATGACATGAACATTGTACCAGCCAATTAAAATTTAATAATGATCATTATATAATTACAATTACTCACTTTATCATTCCAGGGTAAACTCTTATATATCCTTTCCATCTATCTGCACTCTGTAGTGGGGAATTGATTAAAAAATGAGAAGAGAACAAGTTTAAATATCTAAAAGCAAGAACCATGCTGACTTGTAACCTTGTTTACAGGAAAAATATTATTTAAAAAATTTAATATGATAAGAGGACAGCTAGGAAAGCTAATCAGGCTGGGTAACATACTGGTTAAATAAATCAAACAGTAATACTTAGATTTTGGGTAGTTGACTACAAATGAAAGAAGAAAGACAAAAAGGAAAAGAAGAACAAAAGGTGTGAGGTAAAAATAGATAAAAAAATAATATCCAGATATAAATTAACATGGTAATAATTAAGAAGAACACAAAGTACTACATACACTATTACAGTTACTGTAGTAAAATGGACATATCCAACAATATGAACCCTTTAACCCTAAGAGTGATCAGCATCTAATTTCTCCTTACAGTATCACCCTTGACTCAAACATTAAGGTCAGGAGAATAACAGAAATGATCAACAACTACAAAAGCTCTTGATTGATAAGCAAACTCTCCCTGTCAGCAATATAGGAAATGTATAGAGAACAGTATGGAGAATATGCATACTGATGTCTGGGTGATGGGGTGTAAAGGGTTAGTAGTAATATCATGTGGTCTAATTAGAATCTGACTGGTTTAGGAGAAGGTGCAAGATAATTAGACACGGTATATCACTCAATCCTCTACTAAAAACCTGTCAATGTGACAGTAATGTAATTGAAACCACATCAACCTGAATATATTTAGAACACTTTCTTGGGCCAATATGTCATGACTACAATATAATCCTACCTTCATTCAAAGGAAGATTAAAGGTTTGGATGAATTTCTTTCAACAAACTGATGAGGTTTCTCTTCAGGATCAAGGGTACACTCATTCTCTTTAAACAGCAAGAGAAAAAATCATGGTAAAATTAAAACACCAGAAATATGCTGGTTCTAGAGGACTTTCTAGAAAACAAATGCACCTTGTAAACATGGATTATTTCAATCAGATTTTTAAAAGAAATCAACCCTTTTGCTCATGAGTGATCAAAAATTAATTTCACCTTACAAAAAGTGATATGATGACCAGCAAAAAGGTGAGGAGAGGGGAAAACATGTCAAACTGAGGCAGATTTCAAAGCAGTTTCTTAAGGATAAAGTTATAACTAAAAGAATGTAAAGCAGACAGTGAAGAGAGTGGAGATTTTGAACTTGAGGGTCCTTGTTATCTCACCTTCATCAACAGCTCTTGCAAGGTAATAATTGCTGGGATCATCTGTGACGTGAAATTTTTTCAGGGTTTCTTCCTAAGAAATAATTTAAAAAAAAAAAAAAAACACAATAATGCTAAAATTTGAAGCTGTAATATATTATAATACCCTTTTGCTAATAATAGTCTACATCAAGTACTTTGCAAACTACAGACCCCACTGCCAAACCATTCACCTACCTCAGCTTTTTTAGATTGAAGTAACTTCTGGTCTTATTTCAACTTAATTATTTCAAACAAATATATTAGAGTGTTACAAGTAATACACCTGAGTTGCATACTCACTAGAAAACACAAGCTGGCTTCAGCTGTCCTTGGAATCACTATGTTGAGTCCCATACCAGTTCCATATCTTCACCCAATCTTCCCATACCATTCCCAGATATGGGTCATTATATGGCCCATGTTTTACCATATCACTCCCATACTTTTTCTTTGGTAAGGGTTTTTTACAAAGTTTTGAATCTGTTAAGTTGCCATCATAAATCTTTAAAGAAGTTTCATCTATTACAAGGAATGAAATTTCTTTTACTAGTGCTATAATATAATATTACTTAGCTAAGCATGTATATAAACATCATTATGAGATTCCATGAATACAGAGGTTGAGGGAAGAACTATACTTGCTACAAATCAACACATCCAAACACAGTCTGGTAAGTATCTATAATTTAGCTGTACTAGGTAATATAGTAGGCAATAGCATGATTCGTGGTCACCATGGTTATTTAATTTTGCAGTAATTAACCACTTTCAAGTGATCTTCCAAAATTGTCCAAAATACGGCATACCATGAAGGGGTGAGTGCATGATATTTGGAAAATTTTGAAAATTAATATTAATAATAGGCCAGTATTATTGACAAATACCACCCATAAGTCATGCTATTATTTGTTTATATTAATAGAAGTGAAGAAAATTTTGGTAATACACATACAGGAGACTTTTATTTTGTTGCAATTGGAAAGACAAACACGGGCGTCAGCATTCATAACAATCTTTCCTCACCATGTTGTCATTGGTAACCTTGTTATTCCATCCATTTTTGCCATTATACCAAAATTACATTGTAATGGTGAATTGCTGTCAACCAATCAAATCTCCGAAATTTCTTGCCTTATATAATAAGTGATAAACTCATACCTGCATCAAAAGATAAACTGCTTGTGTCTGTATTATGGCGTGGGTCATCTGAGACTATACCACCATTATCATCTACCATACCAGTCTGCATACTTATGGATAATAATTGTTTTAATAAAAAAAACGCCTCCCAGATGTTAGACAAATCTTCTTGACTTTATTTTGTAAGAAGAAACTGGACGTTACAATGTAAAGATATTAGATTATGGTATATTGGCTCATATACCATAATGGCTAAGCCAATAAAAAGTCTTGAATTGCATTATCCAATGATCCAGTTTTTAATAATAAGTTATTAATCTAACAGATAAAATGAGGGGAGGGAAGAATTACAAGCCTCATGGCTCACCATTAAATGAAGCTCATCCCAGCTTCAATGTAAAACAAACAGAAGATTTCAAGTGACTAGCAGTACAAAAGTCATGTAATTACAGGACTCAACACTAACTGTACATGTAGCCGCAACTAGCCACAGACTAGTGGAAATTTAGTTTTGGCCAGGGGTTTTCACTTTCCAATAGCCAGCCTGCTAGTTTGGCTCCTAAACTGAAATTGTGGTAACATCTAAGTTGTCACCAGTCACTTGCATACTGATCAGATGCTTTTTGATAGTAGGTATCCATGCTGCAGGAATTTCAATTTCTGTATCTCTATACTCAGATGTCTTAGCTTTGCATATAAGTTGAACAGGTCAAGTTAATATTTATTTTATAACCCTTCGCCACAAGCGTGAGTGTTCTGCTATAAAACTCAACAAGTTTTCAAGTTAACAAAGCTAATGAGATGAAATGAAAATTAGAGTATGTTGTTTGATTCTGCTACAGAGTGTAAAAATAACATAACTTACAATGTATAGCACACACAAAGTGGTAGACTGATAATTTGATCTTGAAAGTACAGTGTGTAATGGCTATCTGATTAAATCAATCAGAAATATCAAACTATGTAAAATAATAGGGCCGGTTGATTTTAGACAAAATTTAACCTTTC